GAGAGAGGGGCGAGAGAGTCTCTAACTACGTGCATGTCTGAGAATGGCGGCAGGCGAGTGGACACACACACTGCCAGGAATCTGATAAGCACAATGAAGATGCCCGTATAGAGCCCTTCTCTACCACTGCCCTGCAGCGCCCGGACCTCCCGCATCTGCTTATCGTCATTTTGCCTTTTTATTGGAATTGAACTTGTGCGGCAAAGGAATGTCCAGCTGTAGATGTCCAGCTATGTAGTGTCTGGAGATTGGGCGTATAAATCGTTGCTCAAATTAAAAGTGACATCCCATTATTTAGATATAGATACGAAGCGAGACCCGGAGCCAAGTCAAATGAAGGGCAGAGCCCGAGCAAATCTTGATGGGCAATCAGTGACTGACAATGACAGTGTTCCTCATGCAGAAGGATGGACGGCACGGACGATGAATCGCTGCCGCCTAGTTGGAAGTTGCCTAGTTGCCGCAAATTGTAAATGCAGGTTTGATTTTTTTCTTTTTTTTTGCCAATTAAGAAAGAAGTTGAAGTCTCCCATTCTGAATTCTCCCAGTTCCCAGTCTGGTTCTATCACCATCACACCTCCGATCTACTGGAATATCCTCCAACATTCAATCAGACAACAGCAGCGTTTTTGAGGCAATTATTTAGATAGTGTGCTATACTTCCCGATATTCAATTCCAATTAATTCCAAACTAGGGGTAACAAATGCAGCATCAAATGCAGATGTGTAAGAAATGGGTCGCAGTTAAATAATGCGATTGATAGCCTTGGAATTCAAAAACTATTTAAACAAATATGGATGGAAAAGAAGAGTTCTGATTATGTAAATATAGTCTAAAACTATATCCAAAGTAAGCTCTTTAGCAAGCTCACCCGCATGTTTAATAAAAAAAATAATCAAATTCATATGTGTTTGATGCAGCTCAATAGATATCAGCCAGTATTAAAGGTTAAAGATTAACAGACAACCGAATTATATAACTTATTAGTTCATGATATGGATAAACAACCAAAGTATAAAGTTTGCTTGTTCGCTTGCAGCTCAATTTAGTCCGAGCTCAGGGCCATTCGACGTAGGGAAAAGTTCGACTTTTTTCAAAAGTTATAGATTTTTTGAGGATGGATTGTTGGCGTTTGAATGCCAATTGATTCGCACAATGGCGGTCGCTTTTCATGTGAGCGGGGATGACCATGGCATATGTTACCAATGCCGTTTCCCATTCCCATTTCTCGGGAGTCAACCCCCATTTAAGACCCCACCCCCGTCGCTCTTCAGCTTGTCTTCGTCCATCAATGCCAGCCCGACACGCACTCTTGGCCTTCTGCCCGCTAACACTGACAGCTCCAGTCGCTCTTGAGTTTCGCTTCTCTCAATGGGCGTGCTGCCTGAGTCTTTGCACTTCAACAACTGTAACGGTCCTTCGAGGCTTAGGGCTTTAATTTGGCCGATCCGTCTGCGCCCATCATCAAAATCCATCTGACTGTCCTCTTGGCTTTCGCTTCCGAATTTATTGGACTTTATTGAACTGTAAAACACGAACATAAATAAAGCCTGCTGGTGCTGCTGCTCATGAGACGCACGAGGAGCGAGGGAAGGGAACTCCTCGGTGGCAGGCTGCTACATTGAACAGCGAAATCTACATACGTACACCCTCGATGGATGAATGATGGAGACCCATTTGCCTCGGCAAGTGAGTGAGTCCATGGGAGAAGGGCATGGAGAAGGTGGTTGGGGGGTGGTGCTCCGACATTCGCGCTTTTACGACCCACCTGAATGAATGGATTTTAGGGCTTTTCGAATATGTATTTTAATGGACGGGACCGATTCTCCACCGCCCTGCCCTGCCCTGCCCCACTCTGCGGTAGCGTCGTTGTTCTAAGCGAAAGCTTTGGGTATTTTATTGGTTTTTGGTTTTTTGGCTTTTGTGTTGTTTGCCTTGGCTGCGGTCCTCGGAGCCGCTGTTGGCACTTTCTGCCTTGCTGCCATTGATGGATTAGCAGTGAAAGCAACACAGGCACAGGTGGCACCCGGCTGTTCTGTCAAGCCTAAGCCTTTAGGTCATTCGATGCATCATCAAATGACAGGCAAACACGAAAAGGGAGGGAGGTATGTACATACAGACAAACACACGTCCAAATAATTGGATGCTATAGCAGAAGTTAAGTTTTGAATATATAAACAACAATGGGGGAGTACGAGTCTTAGCCTGGTCGCTAGCCACAGCAGGCCCTTCAATATGGCGCTCAATCCTCTTTTGTTTTACTTGTGGTAAAATCGAGTTGTAAATTGAGTCCCCTGAATTGCCTTTATAATCGCCCAAAAAGCTAAAGCTAAATGCTCCTGGAGATTGGTTAAGTTTCCTCCACCGGAACGTGCCTCAACTGAGTTTAAATGATAATCCCCTTGATCTGTGCCATCTCATTGAATATAATTCAGAATTTGAATATTCGTTACAGTTCCTCATGGAACTTAGCCAGAACCTCTTCATAGCGTTGCCTTGAATCGATTCAAGTGCATAATCCTCCCATAAGCTCATGCCCATCGTCATGATCTGGGTAATCCCATTGTCGCTTTGGAATAATTCAATTCGAAATTCGAATCATTTCAATGGGAGCCACAGAATTAGAAGCTGCCAGTTCTGGCAGTGAGTTAACCAGTTTGCAGTCTGGCAAAATTCGTTGTGGCCAACTAAAATAAATGTTTCGATTCTCTCTCGATGGCAGCATTAAACTAGCTGCCACAGCTCGACCCGACCCCCACTTCACCCTTGCCTCAGTGTCCCCCATTTATGTTGTTTTGTTTTCAGCTGCAAGTGGGAAAATCTTTGCCATTTTTGGACGCTGCAAGCTTGAAAATTAAAGCTTAAAAATGATTTTTTCAGCATCTTTTTAAATGGGCAGAAAATTATTATCCAAACATTTTATTTTATAGCTCGAATCGGAGAATTTATGTGCAGGAGAGGAATTGTTTAGATTTATAGGTCGTTAGGTTAGGTGGTGCGGGGTGGGGTACCCTTAAGCAACATGGACAGCACTGGACCCCTTTGCCATAAATCCTTGAAGGATGCCTGGCACGTGTGGCCCATTATCTAATGTGCTTAAGTGTGTGCTAGCGCACACTCGTACACCCATATGTGCCCGGACAGGGTTAGTAATTAACGAGGCAAATATGTATTAATTGCGTATACGCACTGGGGCATCAAAACCAGAAAATGCTAATTAAAACTGAGGGTCCCTCCCTTTCCAGCCATCCGCCCCATCCGTCAGCGCTCTGCTCAGCTCAGTTCTGTTCTGTTCTGTTCAGCTCTGTTCTGGATAAATCAATTAATTTATGCAGCGTCGGTGGGCCGAGTGCATTAGCCATTAGCCATTCAGCCAGTCGGAGAGGAGAGAGAAAGTGAGTGGCAGCGGGCTACAATACGCCGCAGGAGTCGCCGGAGGAGCCACAGCAAACACATCCATTAAATTACCAGCAACATGGAGCCGTGGTGCACCCCTCCTTAGGCCACCCCGTCCGCTGCTCCCTGCTCGACCCCCTGCCTGGCTGCAGCGCAAAAAGAGCACGCGGCGTGTGGCACAGCGGGTGAAGCTTATTAACTATAGAAATGGATTTCGCCAGAGGGTAGGAAGTGAGCGGACAGCGGGCCGAAAACCAGAGGGCAATCCCCTCTCCTTCCACCCTCGCAATGGTCGGTGCACGGACAACCCGTTGGCTGCCTAATCGTGTTTAATTTGCTGCAGATGGAGCGTCCGACACCTGAGATGATGCTGCCTCCGTGGAAGCCCAGGCAAAAGTTCATTGCCTTCGTGCTCGGACTCCCGCCCTCCCCCGTTCCTCGTCGATTTCGTGAGCTTCGATAATGAAAACTTTAATGGAAATTTCAACTATTTAATTACTGCTAAAGTTCGTCCTGGCCATCCTTTCACGGAGTGTGTCCTGCTTACCGTTTGGCCTGTCTGGCGGAGCATAAATCTAAAAGACCTAATTTGAGCCCCATTAGGTCATTACCGGGAAACGGACAGGAGGATGGGAGGACAGGAGGAGTGTCGACTGTGTACTGGGCTAGGCGGAGGAGTGGAGTCCGAATACCAGTATTAACTAATCCTTGGGCCTATTTTCTCGTCTGATTTTTTTGGGGAATCTTCACTTAATCAGCTGCACATGAAATCGTAATAAAGCGCGTCGAGTGGAACGGAACGGAATGGAACTAGCACGAGCACGAGCACCATTGTCCCCAAAAGCTCTCCGCTGCATCCGTCGGTCGGTCGCGGTCGCCTTGTGGCTGCCCGGGACTGAGACTGACACCCCGTCCGGGGCTGGAATTGGCACAGAGGCGGCGTACAATCACGGACATAATACATATGTATGTGTATGTGTTTGCGTATGCGTTTGAGTTTGTGTTTGTTTGTGCTGTGGCAACATTGAGTGGCAACAGGAACCACCCTGCCCGATCGTCTCTCAGCCGATGTTTATCTTATCAGCCGCCAGTTGGCCCGCACAGATGGCCGGAGGTCGGTCGCAAAGTGTTTACACTCGCGTCCAATCATTCTGCGGCTGTGGCGTTTCTGACGCTAATGGCCCCCGAATGTCGGGGCAGTCCATGAAAGTGCCAAACTTACCGACAGATATTCCAGATCCGGAATCACTTGCGGAGCAACAGCGCGTAGCATTAATAGCCGCAGCAACATGTGCCCAGTGCCTGTGCCTGTGCATGTGCCTGTGTCGCCTGTGCCCTTTGCCTGCCCCGCCGCTGAGCCTGGCAACATGAAACCCTGCCCCCAGCAGAGCCACAAGTGTCTCTGGCGCAACAAAAAGCCAAGTTCTGGCTGCCCTTTACTTCCTGCTCCAGCAGCAACAGTCCACGGGGAGCAGAGCTCGTGCTCTCGTTATTCTCCGTGCGCCTCTCTCGCAACCTGTCCCGATTCCACTTCGTTTCTGTGCCATGAAAGCTTTCCAGCGTGCCGAGCCGTTTTGCCGTTCAGTTCCTCGTCGAACTTCAAAGCGTTTTGTGCTTCCAACCGGTGGAAAGAACGTCCGTGCGAGCCGAGCAGGCCAATAGCCCAGAAAACTCTGAAGGCGGGCGCGAACAAGTGAGCCGTAGCCAGGCCCCGAAGTAGCCGAGTGTAAATAAAGTGTAAATAACTGGAGCCCACCCCCTATCCCCCACACACACACACACACACACACAGATACTCACATGGGAGGTTGGGGGTAATGGTTTTGGGACACGGTTTCCCGTGTCGGTGTCGTTGTTTATATTTGGTGATTGGAGCCCCCCTCCCGCCCTCGCAGGTGTGATATTCCCCGACTTATGTCGCGCTCTCTCCTTGCTGTAATAAAAAAGGAAACTGCATTTCCCATTTTGCATCTATCAATGTCGCGACTCAGGTCCGATGAGTGGGATTGATACTCGTGTCGTTGAATACTTAGCGATGTGATGCAATATGCGGCCACTCATGTTCCCTCGGCCAGAGCGTTCAGCCAACGGAGCAACAGAAACCAATAAAGTTTGCCATACCCGGAGCAACCCACGTCGCACGTCCCGTCCGGACACTCGATCCCAAGCAATAAGAGCAAGAAAAGTTGGCCGGGCCAGTGAGAACCCTTAAAATTGCAGCGCGCAAAATTTTAATTGGAAAAAAAACTTGTTTAATTGAAGTTTAATAAACAAAGAACAGAGGGAGGGGGTCGCTCGAAGGGTAGGGTAGGCGAAACGCAAATCCTGCCAAGTCCCAGGCCCCGGGTCGGAAAAACTTGTTCCCACAGTTTCGTTCTAATTTTCAATTAAATGAAAACGTAAACGAAAACAAAGAACGTCGGGAAATAAAGAAAAACGAAAATTGTGTCAAGTGCATTGACCACAGCAGGATAGAAGCCCCAGGGTCCTGTCCATTGTTCTGGTACAGCTTCCACCTGAGGACATGCGACGGTTTGGGGAGGGGTGGAATTGTTGTATTGCTGGTAGAGTGCCTCAGGCTTTTCGCCTGTACTTTGTTTTGAATTTCTGTATCTGCGAGCAATTAAAATATGCATAAAATGCAAATGAGAGACTCCCACCCCCGCTCCCGCTCCAGCTCCCACTCCACCGCACCACAGGACCGACCCCACCAATCAGCCAAATCCCGCTTCGACCGCATTACCACCCCCTTCCGTGCAGTGACCATCCTACATATTGTTTTTTATTAGATACTCGCAGAGAGTCGAAACGCCAGCCGAAATACAAATGAAAAGTGAAAGAAATTGTTCAAATTGCAAACTGTGAGATAATCCGACAAAAAATATCCGAAACACATACAAAAATATACACCACGGATAGAACTCAGTGCCTCTGGGAAGCTGCTGACGGGTAAGTACTCCAGCGCCACTCCGCACAGCCATTCGCACCCATTCCGAGATCAATAAACGCACTCGGAGCGGAGATGCCCGTACAATGTTCTTAGTAATTAGTTCTGTGCTGGCCCCTCGAAATGAGGCCGGTTATGGTTCCCATTCCGCAACCCGTCGCTCTCTGCAAATATTTTACCCAAATCGACTCGTAGCCCATGCGGCGTATGCGTAATATCAAGATAATTGAATGGGCCATGACAAACAACAAATACGAAAATACGTAAATGGAAATGAAAATGAAAATGGTTCATATTTTCCCCTCTCCAATCTCGCTCCTTTTTCTCTCTTTTGTGTGTATCACCCGCCATTAACCGCATTCTGACTTGTCCGGGCACATCCTTTCGATGCTTTTCATGTTGAAAATGGCCAATAAAAATGTTTACGACACACGCAAGCACCGCGGACCAGGTAAATACAGGGAGAATGTTTCAAGAAGCGTTGATTACTTATTAAAAAATTATACATATACTCGCTTACCCAGTACGGGTACACACGCACAGTTTTTATTTTTTACGATTCGCTTAGTTCATTTCCATGAAGAGTTTTATGTCTGATGATTCTGGAAAATGCCCGAGTGTTGCCTAAAAGCGTACATATGAATATGCATATGTCAGAGGGAAGCCCTGAATATACCCGCACTACGGGGAGCACTACAAGGCGTTCTCAGCCCTAATGTGGGGCGTGGCGTGTCCTAATTAGTAGCCCGACCATGAAGTTGATGAGGGTAAATTGGCAAATAATTAATCGGGAGTTGATCAGGAATGGAATTAATCAGGACTCGCACTAGACTACACAGAATATGAGTTCAAGGCGAGCAACCCGAGCAACGAGTGCACACGACTTCCATTTGCTGCGTAACATAACTGCAATTTGTCAGAATTATGATGTGCTGAAGTGAAATGAAACGGAAGAAGTCATTTTTAAATGTTCCGTTTTGAAAAGACTTTCGCTCTAGCAGCATGTTCTGACACACTCTACATCTATCATTGCTTTCTCTGTGCCCCGCAATAAATCTGAGAAATTGTGTATATTTATAGCACCCATCTAGATGCACTGTGCCGCTCTAGTCCCATTTCAAAGGTTCTTAAATGTTATATTCATTAAAACCGCAACATTGTAGAAACGCCAAAAGAAACTAAAACTGGGTCAAAGCAGGGTAAGGCCGGAGCCACGTCTGGACTGAACTTGACCATAAGTCGGTTTTACTGCCCATAATATAAGTGCTGCGGCTGCTGGTTCTCCATGTACCCATTAATATATTAATTTGATTCTCACATCGGCATCGTTTATTGCACCCGTTTCGTTCTTTGTTCTGTGAACGGGCAGCGAATGATTTCCCAAATGCTAGTGTAAACACTCGAGGGAAATGAGTCTTGGGAAAACTTATTTCAAGTGGGTTTCCGTAGTGTGCCAAAGGTATGAAAAATGGAAGCTGAAAGGCAAAACAGATCCATAACAGCCAGTAAACATTTAAAGTACGTTAAAACGAATATACATATGTCTAAATAAAGCCGTAAATATTAATGTCTATTCGGATAATTTTTATGGGACACCTAAACTAAGTAAATTACGAAAAATTCAAACTAATTTAGTTTTAAATTGCCACAATTTAGTCATTTATTTACTTCAACCTTAGAGTTCCTACTGCTCTCACTTAAATTTCTTTGAGTATAAATAAAATAAGAAACAATTTAAATTGAGAGCGTAAGGAAAGCTGAGCAATGTTTTTATTTGAGTTAAATGAACTGCAACGACAAGGATTCAATCACCAAGAAACTCGACTTGAGTTTTTGTCCAACTCGGTTCAGCATCGATTACTTTGACAAATTGTAAATTTAAGTAAATGAATTCCTTAAATTCCATCTTATTGATGGATGCCCCCAAATGGGGAACAGCCTGGACTCTTCGGGAAGCTTTCCAATTTGCAAAGCTTAGCTACAGAGTGAAAACTGCCCAATAAATGTTGAAATGATTTTCAACTTTAAAGCATGAAAATTATAATGATTCCTCTGGTGACTCTCTAATTCGTTGTTTTTCGCTCAGTCTCGTTCAATTAGGTAAAGTGCGGTCTGTTTTTGACTCGCTAATTCGCTGCGAGGGGTGCTGGGTGCTGGGAGTTGGGAGTCGGGAGTTGGCCCACCCTGGCGTATGAGTAATGTGCGGGTGGAGTGCTTTCGTATCTGCCACACTTTAAATGCAAAGTGAGCGCTTAAAACTTTAGGCTGGGGTGCTGGGCGCACGCCCACCTGCCCTTATGCGGAGCTCTGGCAGGATAAGCGACGGTAAAGTGCTATAAATCAGCACTCAAACCACTTGATAGGGACATCAGAATGGGCCCTGCCTCTGTCTGGCCTGACTGAAGCGTTCTCCTCCACTCCACACAGACACACATGTACACATGATCCTCCTGTTTTTCCGACTCTTTTTACGCATTCTTCGCATTTTTCATAGCTCCCCTCCTCTTCCTCCCCCCAAACACAGAGAGAGAAAGATAGAAGTGCTGAAAATAGAATTTATTAACAAATGCTGACAGCCCCACTGTAAACACATTCGTAGATCCTCCGCTCCCCCTGCTGGACACGTGGGCGGGGCTGTGGAATGTTCACGTCACGCGCCTTCATTTCCACGCCGTTCTGGCCAACAGTGGGGCAGGGCTGTGAGCCTGTGAGTCTGTGGGGGGCGTTACAGATGTTCCAGAGTCCGCCCTGGCAGTGTTCTGATTTTCCGCTGGCAGAACGATGTCTCATTTTTTTCGCCCGCATCTGGTTAGCATAAAGCAATCGCGAATTAGCCATAATTTCTGCTGCTCTTCTCTGTTTGACATGTCTGTGTGCTATCTCTGCGGTTGTGTGTGTGATTGTGTTTATGCGCGTGTGTGTGTGTGTCTGCGTATGTGTATCAGATGTCTGCTCTTATCGCCATCAGAATAAAAGCCCATTAATGCGGCATTCGGAAGATTTTAAATATTTGCACACAATTTGGTTATTACCATTCGCCAGACGATGCGCTGCCCCCCAAACAGAACCCAACACCCCGCACTTTAGCGCCTGTGGAACGTACGTACCATATTCACATTCATACGAGTCTGTGAGTGTGAGTGTTCGCGTGAATGTGTTTGTTTGTTTGTTTGTTTGTGCCTCACTTTTAATTAAATGTGAAATAGGCTTGCCACCGGCTAACGTCTGCTGGGCACAGCTGGAAGCGGGTGCATGCAAACCAAACAAACAAAATTCCGAGCACGAACTTTGGATGCTCTTGGCTGTGACTGCGATTAGTTCTATATATTCCTCTGCCCTCTGTACTTGGTTTGTATTCGAATTGGGCTAGTTATATTGAATATAAGTTGAGGCTGTGTTTGTTAGTCAGGCAATTCAGCATGCATATGTGGACCGTAATATTATTCTCTGTGAATTTCGCTCATTTCAGCATGACTTGACCACGAGATTGGTCTTAATGTGTGACTTTCTGCTGGCTGTTTTTTCTTATTTGTCTTGTTTCTGCCACTTTGCTGGCCGTTATTCTTGTCATTATCCTATTCATCTTTTTGTACTCGTATTGTTGAGACACTTGCTCAGAGAGTCGGAGCGAATTATCTGGCCACCAATTGCTCCGTACAAAACATTTGGCATGGGAAGGATTCCTCGCAACACTTGGAAGTCGAGCACCAATCACCCAGATACTATCAATGGATGATGGAACAAGTAAAAACCGTACTCTGCCAAGCCAGGCATACATATAATATATGTACAGACATGTGAGTATGCTGAGACCTTTGAAAGAGACTGAGGGACAAGCTAGACTGCCCGGTAGAGCCTTACGTCTAATTAATATCCAAAGCAAAGCTCAACTGTCCATTCCTAATGATCAAAAGCAGACATCTGGGTCTCTCTAAAGTCTGCACCAAGGAAGCCCCTCCAGGGCAGAGAGAGTCATTCAGGCAGTGGCCGTTGGATGTGGCTTATTGACTCTGTCGGAACTTCTCTGTAAGCTTTCGTATATGCAGAGGAGCAACCATATTCGCCATACTGCCCACCGATGAAAATCTCAGGAAAGCGAAAGCATATGCGAGCGCATTTTCCGGGCCAAAGATGAGGGGACACTGGATTCTAGGGGCCCATTATGACACACATAAATGGAAATAATGAAAGGCCGCCTTTTCTGTTATTCTGCGGAGTCGAACGTCCATTCCATGCTCCGTGCCGGAGAAAGTATAAGTCTAAAGGGGAGACAGCTCGTAAATAAAACTGTTGCATGCCATTTTTGTAAGCGTATAGTGGGTTATGAGTCCTGCTGTTCGCGTGTCCTGTTCCCTGTACCACTTGTTTATGGCCGTTTAATGAATGTTGGCACTTGGCGTGAAACAGACACAGCTGCAGCCATGCCATGCCCCTCAATGCTGCATGCAACGACACGCACCCAAGCGAGCCCCACGAGCCTTGCGAGGGCCCTTCGGTAAAACCAATTTGCCGCAGTGCAGCACAGACCATCTAGACCGCAGCGGGGGAGCGCTGCAATTGCTATGCCCCGGGCCAGTGTCTGACTTTTGGGTCAACTTTTGTGCTATGCATGCAAATCTGCCCCCAGTTCCCGCCTCCATCCCACAACAAAGCATCTCGAGCAGAAGGATGAAAGCCACCAAGGAGGTAATCAACTTTTACCATGCTAAAAGTTGAGCTACAGCAACAGCCACTCCTGGCAAAGCTGGCTGAGCTGGCAAAGGTTGTACAGCACTCCCATTGGGTTTGCAGCGGAGTGAAGCAACCGATTGACGTGCACGGCATACTACGGGTGCCATGGGCATACCCATAACCCTACAGGGTACATATTTCGAATCTCCATCCACCCCCCAAGCCAGCTATCCATGGTGTTTAATATTTTATTGAGACAGAAAACAAGAACTACTCGCAGTCAGCCGACAACCTCTCCCGACTGACTCGACTAAATAAACAAACAGTTTAG